ATTAATGTAAGATTGTTTATAAGCTATATGATCATCCAAAAGCAACACAGCAAAAAGTCAGTCTCTCTGACTAGCAGGATAAGAAGAATGAACCTAAGGGGCAGCGATCAAACCGCGTGCCCTCCTGCCACCCCAGCTCTCCCACTCCTCCCTTCTCCTCAGCACAAGGCTCCTGCCTCTTCTCTGCAGGACTGAACCTTTGCCCCTGGGGGTGCGTGCGCATGGCGGGAGGGGGAAGAGGTGGTATTTATTATTTATGTATGTATAGTTCTAAGTCAAAATTAATTAATAAGTTAACTCTGTACAACTTTCTATTACTCCCTCTGAAAAAGCTTTTCATTCTGTTGTCTTTAATCTTTCTTAATAACATTTAAAGTTAAACCCCATTAATCTGAGTATCTTCCTCAATCCCCAACTAGAAACTCATGTTTTAAGATCACTAAAAAGAAAACAGCATATACACCTATGGCAAGTAAATCTAAAATTCAGAGTCTTCCATTTAAAAAAAAATCTTCAATTAGACACACAAACACTGAAATAAAACGAGGAGTGAAAGCCGGGTTTGTCATAGTTGTAATTACTTTTCTAAACTGTTGAATCAGACTCCCCAGTGCTGCATGAAGCTGGGCTAATTATAAAAGAAATACAATTCTACCCATGGACCAGATCATGAAGAAGTTGTCTCCAGAATCACGCGTAAGTTATTTAATATAGCATGAAATTCACAGAAAGAGTATTTGAATCCTTTTTTTTTTTTTTTCCCCTCCCCATTACTATACTATATTCTACTTTCTGTTATAGCATAGCTGTAATCCCCAGTTTGAAATCAACTGTTTCTGGTGGCTGACCATACAGGTCAGCTTCGTGATGCCAAACACTTCAGAGAGTGCTGTGAGCATTCCTTAAAACTTAGGCAATTAAACATGTAAAGAAAATCCTAATATAAGGCAAACTAAAATCCCAGCATTATAGCAAGAAAGCAACTATAAAAATCACCTCAGAATCCCACCGAAGTATTTCCATACAGCTATCTCAAGAAGTCCACAGTGTTCACCACAAACAACACAGACACACACTACAAGGTGCAGAACTGTGGCCCAGCAAGGAGTGATCATGGAGGCAAGTTTGAACTGTTTACTAATAGAACGCAAAGTCCCACTACAATGATGGTGCTAAGAGAGCCAGGTTTTTGATGTAGAAAAAGAGATACGTGATATTATATTTTTTTACTCTTCACACCTATGAAGCTACAAAATTATTGAAATACTGTATTTAGTTGAAATCAGTATTTCAAATGGATATTAAAAAAATACCAGTAAAGACTGGGGAAAAAAGTCCTAAACTAAAGAACTGAATCTACTTTGTTATTGCAGATCAATTTAAGTAACTTGATCACAGTATAAAAATTCTGACATGGAGGAAAAAATACCTACAAACAAACAGGTCCCAAAAAACTTCAAAGATTTTTCAAGTGTCACGATTGCTAGAAACTGAAACCACAAGGAGTCAAACCAGATCATTATGTATAATTGAGACAAAAATCATTGGTACCATCTATTACAGCCATAGTAGAACTTACACTAGTTGAATTTGTAAAGTCAGGATTGCATACTGTCATAAAATATATGGTTTTAGTTAAAAAGAAGGTATGAAGTTGATAGTGGCATTATTTGCTGAGACTGTTCTATTATGCTTGAAATCAAATCAGATGCCCATACTATATCTTATTAATTGTTTATGAAAGATGGCAATCAACCTACAGATACATCATCTGAATTTCTTTTATTATATTAGTTGAACTTTATGATCATAAATGGAAAAAATAAAACACCCTTAAGCAGGAAGTCACAGTGACACAATTACAGGGACAATTCATGGGAGTATCTGCACAGCTCTAAAGAAAGTGATGTAAAACTGAACGTGCTTCTGTTATCAAACTATTTCGTTTAGTTGACTATAGTCTTACTTTAAAGGTAAACTATTCAGATAACATCAACTCATTTTCCTCAGTTCATAAATAATAAAAAATAACCGTATCAAGTCAAAATATGTATCAAGTTAGCAGACTGCAGTCAAAACTACATGAATTTAATTCTAACAGCTGTAATTCAAAGTTTGCTAATCCGTGGGATATATCTACCTGAACATATTACTTCTGCAACATATTGCAATTTTTTAAACAGGTTGTGGAATAGTAACATACTACTCTTCCTGTCTTTGTACTTAATTCCTAAAGTAGTTTTAAGTTATTTTGAAGCATTCAAGAGTTACATCAAGTAGTATGCACTGAGACGAATGATTGTATGCACTAAATAAACTGATGAAGTGAAATCACAAATTAGCTTGCTTAGAAACAGGTCAAGAAAAAAATCCTAGCTGAAAATGTAAGTAGAATTTCTATTCATCTTTTTCTCACTCACAGTAACAAAAACTTACTTGCTAAAAAAGTTAAAAACCCTAAAATTAAGTAATTTCTTTCATAGCAGTTGCTTCTATATTATGAATATTAATTCATTTTATTATTATGAATTAATATTATGAATGGTATTTTTATTGTAATTGATCTCCTACCTTAGTATGACAGCAAGCAATATTCCTTTCATATTCTCTGAAGAAAGTCACATCCACAATTACCGGTAAACAGCTTTGTTTACTAGCAGGAACAGGAAAGAGAAACTATGCCTTTAATTATGATAGAATTTCTGCATCCTAGAACTCTCTACTGAGAAGTGATTTATGTTCAGCCACATCTCAAATGTTCTGAAACACTCAAGCAGTTCGAGAGATGTTCAGCCTGAAATTCTTTAACTTTCTAATCTCGGTGTGTGCTACCAACAACAATTCTTCAACAAGCTGAAAGAAACAAAAGAAATATATACTGAAGACTAAGATGTCTCCCCCGCCCCTTAACATTTATTTTTCAATCTAAAAAAAGGGGGGAGTGTAGAAAATTTAAAAATATTCAATGATAAGCAGAAACAAATTTGATCACTTGACATAACTGGAGATGACTTTCTAAAAAAGAAAATCACCATTTATCAGGTCATCTATTAATTATGAAAACATAAATCCTTAGGCAGCACCAGTTCATTTCTTACAGTCTTATCTATTTTGTCAAGCCACCAAATTCACTAGTATGATAAAAGCTATCAGACATCTACAGTTCAGGGTGCCTATTTTAATTACCAGGAATTGGTAATCTATCTGTGACATCAATGTATGTGCACTGAAGCCAGGCTGCCCAGGAGACTTTCAACAATTAATTTTCAAAAATTTCATAGGATCCTTATATTTTTGCTAATACAAAAAAGCATTAGTACTTTTTTTAGGCTCTTTTGCATTGTCAGATAATCCTTCTTCTTTAAGAAATTCAGGTGATAAACCACAGAGCAGAAAAAGGTAAACACTACCTACCTGGCTTTTTTGTCACCAAATCACTTGAGTGATGCAAATTATTTTTGTAAGAACAGTAAATACATAGGTAGCAAAACAACCAATGGCAAAGCATTTACTCAACACAACTGAAAAATAATGTATATAACCTGTAAAACAGAGCTGTCAAGCTTAACAAGAAAACACAGTTGCAAAAGGTGCATTTCAATATGTTGGTTTCATTTATGAACAAAAGTGGGGCTTACTTGACAGTATTCAGCCTACACACATGATGACAAGGCAAAGGACAATTACAAGGCAATATCGTAAGATTTTCTTATGTGAATGTATCTCAGGGAAATAATAAGTTGGTTTGTTTTTTTTTTAATAGCAGAACTGATAAATGTGATTACTAGGCAAGTCTCCTATCCTTGCAAATAAGACAAGGTGGAAGAGAATATGTAAGTAACAAGAAACAATTTTCCACTTAGTCATGAGTTGTCTCCGTTAAGCTACTTTTCTGCAGTCTTGTCAGAAACTTAAAATAAATCCATATAGAGAAGATATTAAATATCTTCTTGTAAATTTCTGTCACTGAATCCATTCAGATGGTTAATCCTGCTAAAATTTACTTTCCAAATACACAGTAGTTAGGAGAACCTCTTCGTTACATCCACCTACTAAATGTGATGAGCAGCTACGAATGGCTCTAGACATCAATCCTCTTTTTTTTTTTTTTTTTCTCCTTTGAAAAACCCACAAAATCATGACTTCTGCCTGGTTGGAGTAAGAAAGAATAGATGTCACATGAACTATGTGAGCTTCTATAAACGCACAAAATGCCTTGGACTTGGCCATGTACCATATGCCAAATACTTCCACATATATAGAAATGTGCTTTGTGCAAAATAAAAACCTCCAAATTTCTTTTAAGAAAAAAAGGACTTCTGCTTAGTCTTTCTCACAGTTTTGTGAGCTTCTTGCATCTACAGTATACTTTACTTGTTACTTCACACTTTTGAGCAAAAGTAAAGCTGGATATATGAAAATTTTGGAGGGAAAACAGGCTTGACAGTCATCATTTGGTATCCTCCCACAGATTTTACTTACCAGTGCTTGAAGAACCTACAGTCCCTACTCCCTACAGAAATCAAAGGACAAATCACTCGAGTACAAAACATGGAAATACTTTTTCTCTAAAATGATCTGTTAAAAATAAATAAATAAAAACTATTAACAAAATTCATATTCTCCCCTTCAAAAAACAACATATCTGAAGCGAAAATAATTAATACTCTGCTGCTGATAGTTTTCTAGATTGAAATGATTCAACAATTATTACTAAATACCATTCTTTAAGGCAAAAAGACATACTACTATCTTTATGACCAGCCACTATACTTACTTCAAGAAAGCTATCTGGTTTTCTCCCTTGAAGGTCTGATTATAAATGCTTTAAGCTATACTCAGTTATGTTATCTTACATTCAGCCCATTCTGTTACGCTTTCCTCTGCGCAAGAATAAAAGCAAGGAAGAGGAGACTTCAAACTTATTTTCAAGTGTTGTAAATACTTAACCAGACGATCAGAATGTTCAGATCACCAACGAAGACATGCAAAAAGGATATGCTCATCTTTTCTACAAACTTATCATGTTCATCTTGTGTTTTAGGGAAATTCTCGATGTCATTTTCTAGGCGCTGGATCTGATGGTTCATTGAATCAAGGTTGCTCTTCAGAGTCTGGGCTGAAACTAAGAAAAAAACGACAATGAGTAAAAAGCTTCCAGATTCCAGAAAGGGTATCGGAAGGGGAAAAAACAATGTCAGTATAGTCTTGAGGAGAATGATTCCATTAAGTAGACTCACATTTTTGAGAATTACTGCTCATAAAAATCCTACTTTTCATAAAAATTAAGTGAAAATATCTAATGTAATATACCAAATCATCATATTTAACGTTGAAATGTCACCACTTAATTCTACCATTAGTTCAAATGATTCAATTTCTATTTAAATTTATTGGTAAAAATCCCAATATTTCATTCTTTTAAATCTCATTCGAAGATTAAAAAGTAACTAAGGTTCAAAGAGATTTTACCTTATTAATGCATGTACATGGTTAAATGAATGATCTTATTAACGCATGTACAGAAATGATTTAAGGAATAGACATGGAGAAAAGATCAAATATTTTTCTTTTATTGAAATTGAACTGATTTCTAGAAACCAACATCTGTGAAACTCTATGTTAACATCAAAGGTAGATTTGAATAATAAAAGCTACTGATAATTAAAAAGAAGTAAAGGACTCACAGTACAGCATCAAAAAAAAAAAAAAAAAAGAGGCTACTCTAAAGAAAGACTGCTTACTCTGTCATATGCTATTCTAATGTAAACCACTATTTCTAAACAACCACTAACTGATACATCCTGAGAGAAACCTCCATTGGAAACCATGACCTCACAATTTTGAAGGTGAAGCAATACCATACCACAAAGAAATTCCAGAACTAGATGAACAGTGACAGAATCTCTGCAGAGAAGCCCCTGGTCAAACTGTAATACTAAAACAAACTGAACCCATAATTGAGTTTTATGACATAATCCATAAAGTCCACTTAGCATTCTCAATTTAATCACAAACAGCAGTTTGACAAGCACTTCCTCTCAATTTAAAGATGCATTTTCGAATCAAATTCTACATTCTGTTCTTTGTCTTCTCTTGCACAGTTTACAAACACGACCTTTCAAGAACAAGCAGACAATCTCAACACCACCTTTCTCCAAAGAGCACTGCAACATTTGCACCATTTCATGTCCTTTCTCTAAATTGAGTACAGAATATTTCAAGTATACTCTGTTTCAGAGGCGATTTATACTTTACAAACTACTTAATCTTTAGTGACAGTGCATATAATCCTGGTCAGTTCTCAGAAAACAGTGCCACAAACAACTTTTGATATGTGGAACCAGAGGCAAGAACATCCAGCACTTTATCTGCTCTTCAGTAACTGGCCAAGTCAACGCTCTTTATTGACTGCAGGCAGCTGCTCTACAAAGCTAACGCTGTGGATTTGCGTCCCAGCTAACCCAAGGATTCTTTGTGTAGTCAAGATAAGCACATGACTTTTTTTTTCCCCCGCTTTTTATTATTTTTTGACAGTAAGCCATTTGTCCAAAAGTTGCATAGAGGTTTTTTCAAAAGAATGGTTTATTTTCCTATTTCCTTGTAATTTAAAAAGTTGTGCTGTGTCCATATGATATTAAACAGTAGGAGGAATTTGATTCAAGATGGCTTGAAAAACAGTATACAGGAAATAAAAATCCTGTAAATAAGAAACCTGTTCCCAGAACAAAATTAATTCTATATTCTTGGTAAGTAATGATTCATATCAGCCATAACACCACTGATTTAACTTTTCACAAGCATGTTCAAACACATAAGGCACCAATACAGCTGTCTTTATTACAGACATAATCTTGATTTTATTTTCAATTTTATCTATTTTATACTGGGTTCCAAAGGAACTATTAATCATGTAATCTTAAAATTATACAGGTTTTTAAGCTTAAATCAACTGGGGGCGGGGG